GAGCCTGACACACTCTCACCATCTCTCTCGGTCCCCGCGTGGACAGGGGACAGAGGCAGTCCGTGCTTAGGGACGAGGACGCTCGGCCAGGCTGCCCAGATGGCCAAGTGCGCACTCCCGGCCAGTGCGGCACTGTGATCCGAGAGACACTGGGTGCCACCAGCACCCCCGGACTTACCCGCTTTCCCGCCACTCTGGTCCCCGGGGCGAGGGGCGTCGGTGGCCCAGGCTGGCACGGGCGGGCTGGGGCGTGCAGGGGACACCACGGCGCCCTCCCCGTAGGCCGCGTCTGTGAGCAGGACCTCACCGTCCGTGACCACAGGTTCACTCCCGTTTGACTTGAAATAGGTCTTTTTTAATGTCCCTGAAAGACAAAATATACACACACACACTCATATATATATATATATATATATATATTTTAAAACCATTACTAGAATTATTCCCTTTAAAAGAAAAAAACGTATTAATAAACTCCAGAGCTATTTTGGACATGTCATTTTATCCAGGCGACCAAAGAGCAAGATGATGGCCACCGGAGTGACCTTCTTCCGTGGGGACAACCGAAAGAATTTCCCTTCTGCCACAGATCACGTGGCCTAGTGATGAGACGTGGCTTCCTCAAGAGCTTAAGATTGGAAAACGGAGTCCCCCGGCTAGGTTTTTCTGGGGCCCGAAGAATTTAGGGCAAATTCTGCCTCACCTGGGGCTCACCACTAATAAAATGTGGTGGATCTTGCAGGTGTTTCCTCCCTGGTTTCTCAGTTTCTCACTGATCACTCCCTGCTACACTAATTTTCAGCAAACTATGCATAATGTATAAATAAAAGTGACAGGGCTTATTACTATGTTATATTATAGTAATATGATTATATTATATATCATATGTTCTATTCATCCAGACTCACAGAGACCAAAAACAAGTAAAACCCTACATACAAAACGAAAGAAGAAACTGAATTATCATCATCCTTGACCAGAAGCTATAAAACATAATTTATATGAAATAAGAAATAGTCATTAGACTAAGATTATCAGCTTCTTACTTTCCCAAGGTATCCATTCATTGACAAAAAGAAAGAGTCAAACCTAAGATTATTGAAAAGCACCTGACTTTGGCTTTAGGCAAAGGCTTTTGAAAACCTTGCAAGAGATCACGCAGTTTTTAACGGAGTCAAAACAGACAGCAGGCTGTGTTTCGAGAACATTCGCACTGTTAAGCCAAGCATGCCACAAAAATAAACGAACGTGATATTGATCCATCCATGGAAATATCCAAGGGAGATTTAGTTTTCTCGAAACATTTACAGCGAATGCTCTAATTGGCTTTCGCTTTTCTAAATAGTGCCACGGGTCATTAAAAATAAAAGAAACATAAATAAAATGTTTAATATCAGTCTATGGAAAAAATTTCTCTACATGTGCTTGACACTTGGAAAACATTAACTCCAAATCAAAATAGAAAAGCAGCTGTTTCTAGCTAAGGTCAAGGGTTTCATCTGCCAAAGGATTCTAAATAAAACATGTAAAAGCTAAATCATGACCATGTGGTGTAGGTAAAACATTCTCCAAAGTGTCTCTGTGATTATGAATAAGTATCAAATGCGGCAGGGAGAAACGAAGGACTTCACTGAATTGCTTTTGATTTTCAAAATGGTTTAGAATTTATCCTAGATCAAAATAAACCTGTGATAGGCTCGATTGGTATGTAAAATGTATTTCGTTCATACAGAAGAATCTATATGAAGAATCCATTACATATAATCTTATTTTCATCCATTTGTGAGTTGCTCTCTTCTTTGTTTATTTGGGCATAAGGAGATTTTTCACATAAGGTGATATTTACACTAACATGGCTATAATAAATATGTAAGCCCCATTAGGTAGATTTACTTATCTTGCTGAATCTATGAATCAGCGTCTAGTTCTATCAACATATCTTTAGCAAACACCAATTGCTCACAGTTATACCCCAGAGTAATTCTCTTAAAATGAGTTCCTTATCCTATGAAATATTTCGACCGTTGTTCTCAACATTTTGTTTGGAATGATTAGTCTTATTAATAATCTTTCCTTTATCGTTTTAACCTAATCACAGTGGTGAAATTGTTCATAACATCTTTTACCCTAAGAAGTCCTTTGAAACACTTTTTTTTTTTTTTTTTAAAGAAAATACCGACCAGCCGGGCGCAATGGCTCACGCCTGTAATCCTAGCACTCTGGGAGGCCAAGAAGGGAGGATCGATCGCTCAAGGTCAGGAGTTCGAAACCAGCCTGAGCAAGAGTGAGACCCCGTCTCTACTATAAATAGAAAGAAATTAATTGGCTAACTAAAAATATCTAGAAAAAATTAGGTGGGCATGGTGGTGCATGCCTGTAGTCCCAGCTACTCAGGAGGCTGAGGCAGGAGGATTGCTCAAGCCTAGGAGTTTGAGGTTGCTGTGAGCTAGGCTGACGCCACGGCACTCACTCTAGCCTGGGCAACAGAGTGAGACTGTCTCACAAACAAAACAAAACAAGAAAATACTGACTTGGGTAACGACTTTCTTTTAAAAAGGGCAGTTTCTTTGCTCTTGAATTCTATGTATCAAAGCCATTTGGCAGAATAGAAAAATAATATATGATAGGTATAATAGGTAATGTTTCTAAAGTATATTTTTAAGGAAGGGAAGGGGGAGAGAGAGAGAAGGAAGGGGAAGGAAAGCCTAAAGGATCTATCTTTAAAAGCCTGAACTCACTGGACAATTTGTTTTCAAGGATCTCTAGAAATTGACCAACTCCCAACTTGGTTGGTCGTCTACTATGCATTTTGTTTTAACAGCACAAGAATTACAATTCAATATGACTAAACACTCTCAGCCAGCACCACGATGAGCTATAAAAATGCTAAGAACTATTAGCCCAAAGTAGAGTACTTATCCTTCTAATGTTGCCCTAGCCTTTTCTTTTTTTTTTAATTTTTAAAAAATTTTTATTATTTAAATATTTCATTTCTTTTTTTCTTTCCACCTTTCATCATCATTCCCAATGCCCTATGATTTTCCACATTCCTGTTTTTATAGTGCCATGGTTCTTCAGCCTGGTCGCCTGGGTTCAAACCCTGTCTCTGTCACTTTACTAGTCCTGAAACTTTGGGCAAATTCTCAACTGCCATAAAAGAAGGAAAATAAAAAAGTACCTCCTCATGGGGCAGGGCATTAGGACCAAATTCCTCATCACATACACAAACACTGGGAACAGCTCTTGGCACGTGCTGAATTCTCCATCACTGTCCGCCATTACTACACAATAATGGTAATATTAGTAAAATCGTCTTCCTTAGGCCCCTTTTAAATAAAGGTACTTTTAAGTAAATACCAATTTCCTTTCACTTTAAGTGCATCCTGGCATCACGAAATGGCTAAATTTTCAAAAGCGAATCACTTAACCCCCTTTTGGAGTAAGAGAACTTGTGGCTCTTTCACGCTAAGTTATTAATAGAAGGGCGCGTTGTATGGTTAGGTTGCATGGCTCAAAAAGTGTTTCGGCTCTATAACAAAAAACGATTTAGCAAAGTTTAAGAAATAATCTATCATTTGAATAATAATAGCCAAACTCTACGGATCCCTTAGAATGAAGATATTGGGCAGGCACTGTGGGAAGCAGAATAATGATCCCCCAGAAATGCCCCCTAATTCCCAGACCATGTGACCATGTCACTCTACCCACCTTACGTGGCTAAAGGGATTTGCAGGTGTGTGGAAAGTGAGGATCTCGAGATGGGGAAATTATCTTGGATGATTTAGGTGAGTTCAATACAATCACAAAGATCTTTATAAGCAGAAGTGGGAGAAACGAGAGTATATGTCAGGCCGGGCGCGGTGGCTCACGCCTGTGGTGATGGGCGTGCTATGGAAATCAGCCCTAGTGATGGGCGGGTATGAAAAATCAGCCCTAGGATGTGGCATGGCTGCGCAGCCGCATGCTGCACAACCCATGGCGTGTCGTCGCGGACGCGAAGAAACACGAGCAGCCCTTCTCATCCTCGCCCGTGAGAGACAAATTAACATATGCTCACAGGAGAGATCGGGGGCCAGTGGTCTAAGGAAAGGAGTCCGCAAGACATTCAGGATGGGATTCAGGGTTTGGAGAGTGATGATGATGTTCCAAAGAGACGACTTCACTCTATTGGAATCAATGGAGTGGTTGTACCATATCTTAAAAAATAACACATCCTGAAAATAAGCCCTAGGGTGGTCTTCTGAGGAAATAAATATACGACCTGTCTTATTTTTCAGGAACAGGTATGTGTCATGTTCCTACTCAATTTTGGGGCCAGTTTATTAAGCCTTGTAAGCTTTAGTTTCCTTCTCTCTAAAACTCTGTAAAGAGGGGTTAATTGCATCACCTTTTTTCGGGATTCTTGGAAGGTTAACTCAGTTGATGCCTATAGTGAGGACATTTGGCAAGCTGCCTGTATTAGTTACTTATGGCTGCCATAACAAATGCTTCAACATGATACAAACTTGGTAGCTTAACAACAAGCTAGACCATTTAGTACATCTTAGTGTTAATGAAGGTCAGATTGTACAATAGTGTCTCACTGGG